TTAAGAAACCCACGTCGGGCAAGTCTGATGTATGGGAGTCTTTTTCGTGTGTCATAGACGCAGATGGAAAAAAATTACCCTTTGCGCGATGTGATAAATGCCTAAAAGTTTTACCGTTCAGCAGTCACAAGTCTGGAATCTCAGGTTTAAGGTGGCACTCATGCCACACTTTGTACGGGTAAATGCATCTAAATGACACTTCTAATGCAGCTTCTGTGTTTCCTCTGCATTGCAAAGATACATTTTGTTGATACTGATTTAATTTGCTTGGTAACAATCCAAATGCAAGAATTTGACTCAAAAGATGGTGCACACTTTTAGAAAAAATGACTTAAAGGTAAAAATGCCCATAAAACTTGTTGGAAATGATTAATTTCTATTACTGCTGTGAACTGACCACACAGAATATGAAGAATATCAAAAAATTCAGGAGTCAGCTGTCCACGGTAGTCCTTAAGATATCAGCACAATAACACACTCAGCAAAATATCATCTAATTATCGTTATCGTTAAAATCCCAGAAAAATATCGAGATATCATTTTTTTGTCAGCATCCACACCCCTAATTTATGTTATTTAATTGATATAATAATTTATTGATAATAATTGTTTAAATTAATATAATAATTAATCATTTTGACTAATCCATTTTCTTAACAATGGTTTAAAGGCTGAAATGTAAAGTTTATCAATTTATAAAACTTTGTTTTTTGTGAAAACTGTATCTGAACTGTAAATGATGCTTTTTACAGTAATTTTACGGTTTAATATGGTACTATAGACATTGCCCTACCCCGCTCATGTGGTATTAATTTTATTTGTGCAGGTCTTAAAAAGGCTTACATTTGAGCTTAAAAATCCTGCAGAAACCCTGTAGATAAATAAAGAGCTGTGAAGTAGGGTCTCTTGGGCTTATTAAAGACCAGTTGTGCTGCTTCTCTCTGGATCATTTGTGGAGGTCCAGCCAAGAAATGACAATCAGAATCAGAAATAACTTTATTGCCAAGTATGCTTGCGCATACAAGGAATTTGTTTTAGTGTCACAGGTTTCCAGTACACAGAGACAACAACAAAACACAGACAATAAAAATAAGATGAGAATAAAAATACACACATATGTAAATATAAATAGACAAAAATAGAAAACATTAATAAAAAATACAATAAACTAAAATAAATTGTATGTACAGTTGTGCTATAAACGATAGTATAGACGATAGAATATGAATAGAATAGAGTGAGATGCAGGGATGTACTAGGATGTAGGTCGTAACAAATAAATATAAGGTTATTGCACATATCTTTATTGCACAATGGGGGGAACATTTAACTGTTCATGAGGTAGATTGCCTGGGGGAAGAAACTGTTCTTGTGCCTAGCTGTCCTGGTATTTGCGGCTGGTATTTACAGTTCTTGAAGGGTGGGCAGGGGAGCACCAATAATCCGAACCGTTCTCTGTAGTCTCCTAGTGTCTGATTTTGTAGCTGAACCAAACCAGACAGTTATTGATGTGCACAGAACAGACTCGATGATGGCTGAGTAGTACTGTTTCAGCAGCTCCTGTGGCAGATTGAATTTCCTCAGCTGGCGAAGGAAGTACAACCTTTGTTGGGCCTTTTTTACAATGGAGTCGATGTGATTGTCCCACTTCAGGTCCTGAGAGATGGTGGTTCCCAGGAATCTTAATGACTCCACTGTTTTTACAGTGCTGTTCATGATGGTGAGTGGGGGAGGGGTGTTTCTCCTGAAGTCCATGATCATCTCCACTGTTTTGAGTGTGTTCAGCTCCAAGTTGTTAAGACTGCACCAGACAGCCAGCTGCTCAACCTCTTGTCTGTAAGCAGACTCATCACCATCCTGTATGAGGCCGATAAGTGTGGTATCATCTGCGAACTTCAGGAGCTTGACAGAGGGGTTGTTGATGTACGGGGAGAAGAGCAGTGGGGATAGGACGCAACCTTGAGGGGCACCAGTGTTGATGGAGCGAATGTTTGACACGAATTTCCATAGTCTCACTAGCTGCTGCCTGTCTGTCAGAAAGCTGGTGATCCACTGACAGATAGAGCTAGGTTCAGAGAGCTGGGTTAGTTTGGTCTGGAGTGTTGGGATGATGGTGTTGAAGACCGAACTGAAATCCACAAACAGGATCCTCATATAAGTCCCTTATTTATCCAGATGCTGCAGGATGAAGTGCAGTCCCATGTTGACTACATCATCCGCAAACCAGTTTTCTCAGTAAGAAAACTGCAGGGGGTCCATTAAGGGTCCAGTGATAAGCCAGAACCAGTTTTTCAAATGACTTCATAACCACAGACATTAGAGCCACTGGTCTGTAGCCGTTAAGTCCTGTTATCTTGGGTTTCTTTGGGACGGGGATTAGGGGTGTGCCGATCCGATATTCAGTATCGGTATCGCTCCGATACTGCCACTTTCTGCTGGATCGGGGTATCGGTCAGACGAGACCTATCCAAATCCGATATAGCGCATATGCTATTCTGTT